GCCATGTTGGTCAGACTGGTCTTGAACTCCTGACCTTGGGTGATCCACCCACCTTAGCCTCCCAAAGTGCTGGGATTATAGGCATGAGCCACTATGCCTGGCCCTGCATTTCTTCTTAATAATGTTTTTGTACTTGTAACTTGGAAATCATTACTTACATTATTATATGCAGCCTAAGTTTCAACATTCTTTTTCCTGAGTACATGTGAATCAAATCCATTTTGGCAAAGCTCTTTTAAAACTAATTTTTTTAAAAAAATGGTTTAGGTTGTGACTTATTAATGAGATATTCAGGATTTAGTAACCAGTGGACAGAATCTGGGACCTTAAGCTAGCCCAGTTTGTGCAGAGATGATAAAAGAAATCAAAGAATACAGAGACTACAACTTATTTTACGGTAGGCTAAGCCGATACAGTAACAATAATGGTGATAGTAAAGATATAAAATGAGCCAAAAGAAAACCATATATCTTTTTATTTTTTTACATTTATTTATTTATATTTTGAGACAGGGTCTGGTTCTGTCACCCAGGCTGGAGTGCAGTGGTGAGAGCTCAGCTCTGTAACCTCCGCCTCCTGGGCTCAAATCACCCTTCCACCTCAGCTTTCTGAATAGCCAAGACTACAGATGCATGCCACCACATCCAGCTGGTTTTTGTATTATTAGTAGAAATGGGGTTTTGCCATGTTTCCCAGATTGGTCTCAAACTCACGGGCCCAAAGCAATCTGCCTGCCTTGGCCTCCCAAAGTGCTGAGATTATAGGCGTGAGCCACTGCACCTAGCCTAAATTTAATTTTATTTATTGAACAAACCCCGAACCAGAATAGGTGCAGAGAGATTCCCCTGAATCTTTTAAAATAGGCTTTATTTTTTACAGAAGTTTGTTTCCCAGCAAAATTGAGAAGATACAGATTTTTAATATACCCCTCTGCTAAAAATTATAAGTAATGTTTAGTTTTTGTAACCCCTGGAAAGATAAAACAACTTCCTAAATCTTCAGTGTTTCTTGTAATAATACAGGAAGGGGTTATGATTTAACATGGTCACTATCAGGCCATCTTTATTAAATGCTTGGATGGGTTGGGCATGGTGGCTTACGCCTGTAATCCCAGCACTTTGGGAGGCCAAGGCAGGCAGATCACTTTGAGCCCGGGAGTTCGAGACCAGCCTGGGTAACATGGCAAAACCCTGTCTCTATTAAAAATATACACACAACAAAAATTAGCCAGGCGTGGTGTTGCATTCCTGTAGTCCCAGCTACTCGGGAGGCTGAGGCAGGGGGAATCACTTGAACCTCGGAGGTAGAGGTTGTGGTAAGCCGAGATTGTGCCATTGCTCTCCAGTCTGGGCAACAGAGTTGAGATTCCATCTCAGAAATACATACATACATACATACATACATACATACATGCATACATACATACTGGGACGCCATGGGATTTTTTTCTCCAAGCTATGAATTCAGAAGATCTAACATCTAGACCAGCCCTGTCCAATAGTATGTTGAATGAAGATAGAACTATTTCTGTAACACCACTAGCCACATGTACTGTTGAACACATTAGAGTTGAAAACTGAATTTTTAATTTTGTTTAATTTTAATTTAGATCTAAATAGGCCCATGTGGCTATTCTAAAATAGTCAAATTTGGCTAGTTGCTTTTGTATTAGAAAGTGGAGTTTTAGGCCAGGCACAGTGACTCATGTCTGCAGTCTCAGCACTTGGGGACGCCAAGGGAGGAAGATCTCTTGAGCCCAGGAGTTCGGGACCAGCTGGGGAAAGATAATGAGACCCCCCTAGAAAAAATAAAAAAAAATTAGCCAAGCATGGTATGACATACCTGTGGTCCCAGCAAGGAGGCTGAGGCAGGAGGATCACTTGAGCCTTAAACCCAGAAGGTTGAGGTTGCAGTGAGCTGTGTTCATGCCATTGCACTCCAGCCTGGATGACAGAGTAAGACCCTGCATAATTGTAGTGGAATCCCTAGTTTAAGTTGCATTTGATAAATATCATAGTGAAACATATTTTCCAGGAGTGAGACTGACCTGATCCCTAGAGTTGAAGCTGGGAGAACATTGTGTTAGATATGTGGCTTCAGGAGCCTTCCATTGTATTCCTGGAGAAGACCAACAGGGCACATCACTCCCAGGCGTTTTATGTTGCATTTGTGTCAGGGTCCTCCTCTCTCTTGTGCTCTTGTAGAATGTGTTTCTGCCTCAGTGATCATTGACTAGCATAGAACCTCCTTCTTGGCCACCTGCTAACATGTCCTAAAATAATACTCTGCAGTGAGTGCTATGTTCATGTTCTGAGTGTATTCATTGTTCAGTGTGAAGAAGAATCCAACCATGAGCTATATTGAATAGGCCATAGAAAGCAGTCTCCTTTTTTTTTTTTTTTTTTTTGGACAGAGGCTTGCTCTGTTGCCCAGGCTGGAGTGCAGTGAGGTGATCTCGGCTCACTGTAACCTTCGCCTCCTGGGTTCAAGAGATTCTCCTGCTTCTGCCTCCAAGTTGCTGGGATTACAGGCACCTGCCACCACAGCACGCCTGGCTAATTTTCGTATTTTTAATAGAGATGGAGTTTCACCATGTTGACCAGGCTGGTCTCGAACTCCTGACCTCAGGTGATCTGCCCGCCTCGGCCTTCCAAAGTGCTGGGATTGCAGTTGTGAGCCACTGTGCCTGGCTAAAAGTAGTCTTTTTGATATGGGTTCTTGTTACCGTTTAATATCTTAAAAAGTACAGCAGGTGTTATGTTTGATTAGTAGATGATTATTGGAGAATCTGAGATATCCAAGGCTAACTTCTTATCAAGAATAAAAGAAGGTTATAAAGTCACTTATAGATACTAGTCACTATTTTACCGAACAATACGCATCTTTTTTTTTTAATTTTTAATTTTTTTTTTTTTTTTTTTTTTTT